TATACAGACACACACACTCACATGCACACAGACAGACAGACAGACACACACACACACAGGCACATATACAGACACACACAACACATAAACACACACACAGGCACATATACAGACACACATAAACACACACACACAGACACATACACACACACACAGACAGACAGACACACACAGAGGCACAGGCACATATACAGACACACACAACACATAAACACACACACATAGGCACATATACAGACACATACACACACACACACACACACAGAGGCACATATACAGACACACACACTCACATGCACACAGACAGACACACACACACACACACAGGCACATATACAGACACACACAACACATAAACACACACACACAGGCACATATACAGACACACATACACACACAGACACATACACACACACACACACAGACAGACAGACAGACACACAGAGGCACAGGCACATATACAGACACACACAACACATAAACACACACACATAGGCACATATACAGACACATACACACACACACACACAGAGGCACATATACAGACACACACACTCACATGCACACAGACAGACAGACACACACACACACACACACAGAGGCACAGGCACATATACAGACACACACAACACATAAACACACACACACATAGGTACATATACAGACACATACACACACACAGACACACACACACACAGAGGCACATATACAGACACACACACTCACATGCACACAGACAGACAGACAGACACACACACACATAAAAAAAAAGGCATTATAAAATAAGAGCCCCACACAAAGTCTAGCAAGGCATTCTTGTATCCACCACTTACCAGCCTCAAAGGAGCCGTCTTTATTAATGGGGACGAGGACATGGGACAGGGAGGCGGAGCTGCTCTTGCCTGTCCCATCCAGCTTGACCAGCTGCAGGCGTGGCGTGGTCTCAGGTGGAAAACGGTAAAACTGGAAGGTGAAATACACAGTCTGTGGCCATGGTGCTCCTGGGCAGTCCTGGGCTGCTCTGAACACAACAGGGAACCAATCAGACATCCACAGAGAAGCTCCAGGGTGTGACATGCACAGGGGCAGGACAGGCACTGCGATCACCGAGGTCACCTCAGTTACCGCCAAGAACAGCTTTGTCCTCTCAGAGGACAGGACCGTGGCTATTCCAGGTGCCACGACCTCCTGGCTGGAGGTGCTGCTCTCAGCAACACTGGAGCCCGAGAATGGGCACACAGGGGGCAGGATTTAATTAGCCCAGAAGACCACACAAAGCAGGGCTTCTGGCACTTACAAAGGAGGTCCCAGCCAGAATAACGTAAAAAAACGTCAGCATGAGAGAAATCCCAATGTTCAAGATGAAGGTAACTGATTACTGATTCAGTTGTGGTGCTCTGAATGACATGGCCCCCAGAAGTTCATAGGGAGTGGCACTATTAGGAGGTGTGGCCTTGTTGGAGTAGGTGTGGCCTTGTTGGCAGAAGTGTGTCACTGTGGGGAGGGCTTTGAGATCTCATATATGCTCAAGCCACACCCAGTGTCTCAGACCACTTCCTGTTGCCTACAAGATCAAGATGTGTAGCTCTCAGCCACCTCTCCAGCACCATGTCTGCCTGCATGCCACCATGCTCTCAACCATGATGATAATGGACTGAACCTCTGAACTGTAAGCCATCCAGCTAAATGTTTTCTTTATAAGAGTTGCCGTGGTCTTGGTGTCTCTTCACAGCAACAGAAACCCTAACTAAGATAGTCATTATATGCCATATACCCATATCAGATTACCAACTGCCCCATAAATGCACACAATTACTACATGTATCAGTTAACTCAGAAAACAGACGGCCATGTTCCAGCTGGCAAAACCTGAACATAGAGCATGCGGGAGTCAGCCCTCCGGTATGAGGAAGCCAGGGAGTGGGATGGATGGGCACCTGGAGACTACCTGCTGAAGGCAAGAAACTGAAGCACGATCTCATTCCCTCGGCGACAATCTGACTCCTCCTTCTGAGGGTTGAACCTCACCGGATCTGAGGGATTGACGGCTTCCACTGGCTGCTGGCTGGCATCCAGGATCTCAGGGAAGCCGGAAGACTGCAGGAGCGCCATTGCTGCTCTCGAGAGCTGCCTTCTCGAGCTGGAACAGAAAAAACCCTCAGCCCGAAGCCCAGGAGTGCCGTGCACACCTCTCTACAAGAGCCTGCTCATCAAAATCAAAAGTCCAGGGCCTCCCCACCAAGCCTCACCTCCTGGTCTGGGCTCCCACAACTATGGGGACATGCAGAGGAGTGAAGGGGAGTTCCTGCAGATGATCGACAGCAGGTGTTCCCAGAACCAAGGACGTCTGGCTCAGGTCAGCTTCCAGGTGAGAGACCCTGCCCTCTAACACGGGTTCCTGCCGAACAAAACCAGGGCTCCAGGAGTGCAGCAAGAACCTGCCAACGACGGACCCCAAAGGTGCTCAGGCCTAAGGGTTTACTGCCCAAATGACTCCTGGGGGGTCATCAGCTCAGCAACTATCAATACAGGAGGCTTTTAATTTCAGGTGACCAATGACAGATTTTAGCATCTGTCCCATGAAATACTTGGGCCAAACTAAAAACGAAAAAATAATAATAAATTTTTAAAAATTGTGTTTTTATCTGTAAGTCAAGGTTAACCGATCACTCTGTATTTTATACAGCAACCTCATCTGTGAGTTACAAAGCCACGAGGAAGAAATCACATTTTTTTTTTTCGAGACAGGGTTTCTCTGTGTAGCTTTGCGCCTTTCCTGGATCTCTCTCTGTAGGCCAGGCTAGCCTTGAACTCACAAAGATCCTCCTGCCTCTGCCTCCCAAGTGCTGGGATTAAAGGCGTGCGCCACCACCGCCTGGCTGAAATCACAAATTTTATGAGCAGGCCAGAACCACAGAGACACCTGATGTCTGGGGCCTGAACACCAAATGCCAAGCGGTGCGGCAAGACATCACACTCCTGTTTGGTCTCAGACTCAGAATGGTAGCAAAAGCCTGAGGTGCGCAGTCGGGCAAAACCTACCGTTCCCGTCCCCTCCCGCCCCCTCCTGTCCCCTCCCGCCCCCTCCCGTCCCACATCACAAAGAACACCCCAAGGCCCCATCATCCAAACACCAGACTTCCTTCCCAACAGGAGGTGATGAGCTTGTGTGGGAGCGGAGCAGGACAGGGTGGGTACACTTACTGCCTGGAGCAGGGGACCCTGTGGGGACTGAGGTCTGTCCAGGGCCTGAGGAGGGGGCTTGGAAGAGCTGCGCGGAGCCGGAGGCTGTGGGGAGGCCGCCAGCTGGGAAAGCGACAGCTGCAAGGCAAGAGTTCTTGGGTGAAACGCTCCGAGCATGCAGTCAGTGCACACAGAAACACACGAATGCTGCACAGACCCCGAAGACGACTCCCCGCATCACCACCAGGAGTGATGCAAGCACTCTCCGGGCCGGCGGCTGATCTGAAGTCCAGAGCCCTCCAAGTTCCCTTAATTCATAATTAGAAGGAGGCCTGGGGCTGTGATTCCTCTCGCATCATCACAACGGAAAAGGGGGTGAGGAGGAGAGGCTCCTGCTGCAGGACCAGATGCTGGCCCGGCCTCTGGACTTGCGCCTATCCTTGCACTGGACACCTCCAAGGCTCTGTCCAGCACCCTGTCCACTGAGTCTCCCCACCAAGGCAGCGACCAGACTCGGTGGTCAACAGGAAGTCTGGGGACAGAATGTCCATCTCCACTTCCTCAGAGCATGATCTGCCTCAGTCTCCTCACCTCTGTCAGAATAATAATGGCCTCAACAGCTGGGCTACTGTGAGAATTGCACGTACGTTCAGTGTACTAAGCCATCTACAAAAGTTTATGTTCACAAATGGAAAATGAATGCAAATATCAAAAGTGGGGGGGGGGTCTGGGCTGCAGTAGAGCATGTGTCTCTAGTCACGGCAGATTTCTGTTTCCAGTGCACACTGCTGTGGGATGATGGCTACCAGCAAGGACAGCTAGCCCAGAGCAGGGCTCAGCACGATGAGGGCAGGAGCAGTGTGCAACGGACAGTATCCCTGGGGCATGGGAAGGGTCTCTAGGGTCCATTCAGCCCCCCCAAGACTGCTAGGCCAGTAGAAGGCAGGAAGCAGCCCACAAACTGCACCTTGGGTCTGGCTTCCCTAAAATTTTATTTTCAGGATGATGCTGTAAGTCGTGCAGCCAAAGCCGCCCAGGGCCGGGGGACACGTGCCCCTAGCCTGCTCAGCTGTCAGTGACAGGAAGCACTGATCTTTCTGCACAGAAAGTTCTAGGCTATGCAGGTGAATACTGACTGATGGGTGGCTGGATGTCCTGCCTCTGTCAGCTGTGGTCCAAAATCTGCCAACAACAAGTGCTTGGCCCACAGGCCAGCTGCTGCCTGGTGTCTATACCACTCTGGGAGGGGTGATGGCCAGGTCCCAGTGTCCCAGGGAGTCAATGGCACTGACTCAACAAGCCTCACCACTTGGAGAACGTGGTATTTTAAGTGTGGATGGCAAGGTCCAGGATCACTGACTGGGCAGGAGGCCACCAGATGGCAACTGGACCTGGAAGTCAGCTAGCTGAGGCAGGCTGCAAGACAGGGCAGGGGGACCAAGGCACCTCCAGCCCCCACATCCAAGTGAAGTCCTTTCTTCAGCCCCAAACCCTCTGACCCTTATTCTAGACTACGTGAGAGGCCCTCTTGAGCCTGGACTTACCCCTGGTCCCACAGGAGAGTCCTGGATTGCAGCAAGATCCTGGGCGGCTGGTGCTGGCGTGCCTGGGGTGGGGGGAGCACACAGGGCCATAAGTGTCTTCAGGGCCCAGAGCCCAGAACGCCAGTCCAGTTGGGACCACTGTGCTTCTCTATGCCATCTACAACTGGCTGTTTGCATACACTGCCCAACACAGCTCCTCTCAGCCTGGAGATGGGGAGCAGGGCGGCCTCCTCACCCCCACTCTGCCTGCCTCCTCCCCTCTGCCGCAAGCTGCCTTGCTAAGTGCGGGCCAAGTGAGACAGAACACTCTGGCTTCTGGATAACCAAGCTCTCTGACACACTTCTCCATACCCTCTGCCTTGGGAGTGCCCAGCTCTGAGGTATGCCAGACCTAGGGGTACCATGGCTGCAAGCTGCCTGGTGATCCCAACACCACCTCCTGAACATGGCCCAAGCCCCAGGCTCTCCTCATTCAAGATGCAGATGTGCCTTTGGGAAGTCTACCCGAAAGTCAAGGCCAGCCCTCCACGAGGTTCCCCAGACTGAGAAGGGGCTGAGAACAGCGGTGACCCTTCAGAGGCCAAGGCAGTGTCCAATGGCCCAAGTGGCCCTCTGTAGAGTGACAACCTCCTCTACTGAGGCCACTGCCCTACAGTAGTACAACAGTCAAGCCAGGAGTGAGGCTGAGCTTGGTCTGTGCAGATCGTCACAGCTGTGCTCCGTCTCACAGCCACGTCACAGATGCCACCATCGGCCTTCACCTCCATGGTCACAACTTCTTGTCAATAAGAGGGGCTGTCCCAATGAGACTCCTGCCCCCAGAATGCTGTAGGAACCTTGTATTTTCCTGTGGAGTGGCCTGACAGTTGTCCCTGAGAGCACAGCTTCGTGCCCATGCCTCGCCTGGACCACTGCAGTCCCCAGTGATGGGACACTGCCCACTTCTAGGGGACTTTATCCCCTACTGGACTTTGATTTCTGGAAACATCCTACCCTCTCTCCAGGGCCTTGTCCAACCCTCATGGGACTGACAAGAAATGCCAGGCATTCACACAACCCTCTCTTCCTCCCATGGGGCCCCTGCTATCCAAATCTCCACATGGCCCACAACTGACAGGAATGAATCTCATACTTCCCAAGGTCCCCTGGGGACCCCACAGCAGACAGCACCAGGCAAAACAGCCCAGTGTCTCTGCTTCTGTGCCACCTGCATGGAGAATGCCTCCTGTTGCATTCTGGGTAGCAACAAACCAAAAATAAGATCAGCACACTCGCTATTAAGGAGGAAACCCAGGACATACTGCTTAAGCACCATACTGCAATGGCCTTCAGACCACATAGCCTCTTCTGGCTGCTTTCCGGAGGGTCCCTTAGGAGATGCTACAGCTTGTCCCAGGCCTCGTGAGGATCTGGTGGAGGCCTTGTGAAATCTCACTGATGGGGGGACAGAATGGCAGGGAGTTCCAGGAATGGAGTGGGGACCAGCCACAAAGGGCTTCTGCCTCAGGAGACCCAAATGCCCAGACGGGCCGGTACAGCTCATGGCCCAGCTGCCCCCTGGGTCATGGCCCACCCGGGAAGCATCCACCTACCCACCCACTCTCTCCTAACGTGTCAACCAACAGGGTTCCCAGTAACCCAGATACTCATGGCCAAGGAGTCTGTGATCTGTGAAACCAGGGGCTTTGCTTTGGGGGAGCCAGAAGACAAGGCCAGCTGGCTGTTTCCACAGATCAATCTCAGCTCTCTGGAGGCAAATGTGGGTGCTGCCACCCAGCCAGCCGCCACAGGGTGCCTAGCCCAGGTCCCCAGACCATCTTCTGCACTCTCTCCTCCTAAAACAGCCTAAAGATGAAACGGGAAAAAGCTACTTTGTTCCACCCTAAATGGGGACTTGGAAAACTCTACAGGCTGATTTTATAAAGAGGAAAAATTGCAGGAGATGGCTCCATTATCCTTAGCTAAGAGAAAGTCAGCACTTAGGCACGGGCCCGTGTGCATCCTCCGGGCGAGGGAGAGCTCGCTGGCTGGAGGCAACACCACCAGGGCCCATTACCGCTTCTCCCCCACAGGCTCAAATTTGGGGATTGTATGGTATGTTTCTTCAGGTAATTCTTTATATTGTGACTTACCATGCAATTTTACCTTCTGATAGAGCTAAAACAGCCTTTAAAAGGCTCTGGCAGTCCTTTTACGACACCTGCTGTGAGCCCAGGCTGTGAGGGCCCAACCCACACCCCAAGAGAAACACAGGCTGGGAAGAAATACATCCAGACCGAGAGATGCTCGTTTTCCAATCTTTCCCTCTTAGCGCCTCATCCCTACCTGGGGTACACCACGGTCCCACAGGAAAGCCCCACTTCTGCTATGGCGCACAACTGGGCAGGAACCCCTGGGCAACACATCAGACCCCAGGACAACATGTCTGTGCACCCATGTCTGCCTGCAGAATGTCCAAGTGCACACCACATGCCCCTGAACCAATACAAGCACGCTCGTGTACAGCAAGGAGCCCGAAGAGGATAGCTGGTGTGTTGAACATACGAGAGCATTACAGTGAGAAGAGCCGGTGACCAGACACACAGGCACAAGTCTACCCTATCTACTGACCCCATCTCCTGGGGGGAGAGGCAGGGGAGCAACCACATGTGGCAGGCAGACCTGCTCCAAGCTTGACGGCTCCCTGAACAGGGTGAGCTGCAAGGCATTTACCCCGCCACTGCACCCATCTGCTAGTGTGAGTTCCCATGTTACCAGTGGCTGTATAAGGCTTTAATTACAGCTAGGTGCTACTCATCAGATCTACCATGGTGGCCCTGCCATAGCCAGAAGGCCCTGCGGGTGGCACTAATGACAGCCATCAGCACAGGCCGGCACAGAGAGCTCCACAGGCAGCTGGTAACTACTGACTGCTGCTGCTTCTCCCCAGAATGTGGCCGCGAAGGCTGGACTCCATTCCGGAGGCTTGAGATAGCGTTTAGCTGGGCCTGGGCCTGGGCCTCTGGGTTTAAGAAGTGGCCTGGCCATTAAGGAAGAGCATGGAGATTCAGAGACTGTGGTTTCTCTTGGCTCAAAGGAGCCCAGGAGCCATGCGGCCAGTGCGGCTCAGTGGCACACAACCTTTGCGTACAGAGGAAAGAGACGAAGTCAGTGGGTCCCGAGACGCCAGCTGAGGCTGCTGGCCAATTGCCAGAGACTAAGGAAAAGGCTCCTCAGCCACAGCAGCCTCTGCATCCTGCCTGAGCATCGTCTAACTGCTCCTGACACACGCTTAACTCTCAACCAGTCTCCAACTGCTGCCCACAAAACATCCACTATGCACCCCAGTTCTCTCGGTTTGGCCTCAAGAAGCCCACGCATCCTCTGCCTGACTGAGCAGGGGCTCCTGAAGGCCAGGCAGGAGCTTATGCTCTGACCCCAAGCTGAACTGTCACAGGTCCCTTTGGGTCACTCAGAGTCCCGAGGCCTGTGTGGCCTCTGACTTCTGTACACAGAAGGGAGGGAGACTGCTCTCCGAGGCGTGCTAGTGTGGCCACAGGGAGAGACTTCCCGGGGACACCCTGAGCTGCTCCCCTCAGCCCTGGCCAGACCTCAGGCATTTTAGCCTGACCAAGGACGCTGGACACTGTCACTCTGAGTAATGGACAAACGCAGCAGAGGAGCACTGTCCATCCATGTCCATTATCACAGCTGGCTCGGCTCCCTAAGAGAGTGAGCATTTGCTGGGCTTTCAGCTCCGTCGCTGCCCCTCCACAGCATGGACAAGGACGGGGACCAAGGCACAAGGCAGTGCCCACCCCGGGCAACGCTCAACCTTCCGCTGTCCCCTTGTTAACGCACAGGGGCTCAGGTGAGGGACCTGACACCGCTGCACCACCTAGGGAGCCACTGAACGGCCATCTCTCCTCTTGAGCCACCCGCCTCTCATGTGCTCAGGGTCCCTGCCACGTGACAGTGGGCAGACAGGACGGGCAGCACCCTTTCCCACCTTTACTCCCCTATCCCTCCGATTCACATGTCCCATTTGTCACGTGCTTGTACTTAAGCGAGGGCCACAGAAAGATGCCAAGATAAGGAAGTAGCTAATGCAGGCCAGGACAACAACCTCCACCACTGTCCCGGACCTGGTGGCACTGGAGATCCTCAGTACAACAGGAACCCGCAGAAGCAGAGATGGATGATGGCACTGTGGCACCTTCCTGCTGATGACCTCAGCAGGGGGTGGGGGTTCATGCAAGGCTGCTTGGGCCCTCCTTCCTGAGAGAAGGGCTGCACCTGAGGAACTGGGGAGCAGCAGGCATGTGGGGTGAGGGGTGTGGGTAGAGGAAAGCACTCGGCTCGCTGAACGCCCAGCCCGTGGTCACCTGTGGTCAACCACAGACGGCAGAGCAGAGGCCCTGAAGGTGGAGCAAGAAAGGAGCGGCAGGAGGCAGTTGCCTAGCAACAAGCTGCAGCTGGAGAAGGGAGGAGGCAGAGAGGGGACAGTGTGGCCATCAAGGCGAGGGAGGGGAGGAAAGAGCCTGGGCCTTCATGAGATGGACGTAAAGACGTCATTAGACGTGAAGGAAGGTGGCAAGAGTGGCCCCTGTCATCCAACCACGGGGATAGAGGATGAGTCCGTACTAATGGGCTCCGGGTGCCAGGGATTCACAAGGCAACCCACCCGAAAGGCCTTTATCCCTCACTATCTGCGGGTAAGCCAGCCTTCCCGAGGCTTTGATCACAGGGGTGGGAAAATGGGAAACAAGAGAGGAGGGAAGAAGCTGAGGGTGGGCAGGCCCGGGTCTCCACCTGAGTGAACTCAGACCGCAGCCCTCGTTGGGTGGGGTGACCTGTCCAGAGCACTGAGGGGTCGGCCCAGCTCAGTTCCCTGACAGCCCACTCTCCACAGCCCTGTGGTGTCCCCGGTGGCCACAAGCCTCTCCCCGACCTCTGTGGGGGCACCAGGCTCCGCAGACACAGGCCATCACCGCTCCCCGTGCAGAGGAGGCTACGTTACAGTGGCAGATGGCACGGTCTGACCACACGTGTCCTGGAAACACAGCAGTGCGTGTTTTCAATG